ACAAATGTTAATAAAACCTCATTTATTCTTCATCAAACATTAGGTCATAGTGTATCAATTCCTTAACCTAAATGTCCAATATGCTTGCTTTCTAAGCAAGCTCGCATCACTTTCCCAAACAGCACATCCACTACATCACAACCATTTGCTCTAATACACCTAGACATTTGGGGCTCTAATCACACCCCTAATCACGGTGGGTCTAGTGTTTTCCTCACCATTGTAGATGTTTTTTCTTGTGCGACATGGGTTTTCCTCATGCAATCCAAGGCCCAAACACTTTCCCACATTAGGAACTTTTTATCCATGGTGAACATGCAATTTCATCCCCCAGTTCAACGTGATCAAACTAATAATGCTCATGATTTCTTTAAACATAAATGTTCCTCTCTTTTTTGGTCCCTTGGCATTCTCCACGAGAGTTTTTGCACCTATACTCCCCAACAAAATGGAGACGTAGAACGAAAACACTTACATCTATTAGAAATAGCTCGTGCCCTTAAACACTAATCCATTATCCCTTTGTCCTTTCAAAGTGAATGTGTGATCATAGCTAGTTACCTGATCAATCGCATGTCGAACCGAGTACTCCATAGTAAGACTCCCTATGAAATCCTCTTTGCAAAACACAAGCAATAAAAAACCTCCGTGTTCTTGGGTGTCTTTATTACTTTACGGTTGTTGGGTCACTTGAAAAATTTGGACCCAAAGCTACTTGATGTATTTTCATGGCATTTCCCATGCTCCAAAAGGGTTACTGTCTATATGATTTAGCGGTAAAGCAGTTTCTGGTCTCCAAAGATGTTGTTTTCCATGAACAATTTTCCCTTTACCACCAATGATGCCAATTCAAGTTCCCCTCCTCAGTTGTTCCTATAGGATGATCTATCTGCCTATCTACTTGATCATCTTTTTACTATATCACATGCATCTGACAACAGTTCACCTTCGATAGTTATAGATTCTTCCTCAACTACTATTTCTGATTTTGTTATAGATCCACTAGAGTCACCTATAACTGACACCTCACCTACATCTCCTGCAGACTCTTCTGTTCTTAATCTGAAACCCCCTTAATAGTGATCCACCCATGTCACTCGACCTCTTATCTGGACAATTGATTATGCTTGTCCCACAATACTGATTCCTTAGGTACACCTTACCTCACCTCCAATTATGTTAATTATGAACGTCTCTCTCTTGCCCACAGGATATGCGTCAGCCAGATCTCTGCTAACCGTGAACGTTCCTGTTACTCATATGTTGTTTGCCATGCTCACTGGTGCCAAGCCATGGGTGATGAAATTACTACCCTGGCTCATAATAATACTTGGGATTTAGTGCCTCGCTCTTCTCATCGAAAACCTATTGGCTGCAAATAGGTGTATAAGATCAAACATCATGCTGGTGGTTTGATCGAGTAATATAAAGCCTGTTCGGTTGCCAAGAGTTTTACTCAGCGTGAAAGTTTTGATTATCAAGTGACCTTTTCCCCTATTGGCAAACATGTTACTATCAAAACATTTCTTTCTGTTGCATCGGTTTGTGACTGGTCCTTACATCAAATGGACGTTCATAATACCTTTCTACAAGGTGACCTTCATGAATAAATTTATATGGATCTTCCTCTAGGACTTCGCTGACAAGAGGAGAACATAGTATGTCGTCTATAAAAATCCATTTGTGAGATGAAATAGGCATCTCGTCAATGGAATGAAAAATTGACAGAAGCTCTCACAAGCATAGGCTTTTGTCAGTCCAAACATGACTATGCACTCTTTTCTTGGCATAGAGGTAAATCTTTTATTGCCTGCATCATCTATGTTGACAACATTCTAATCATATGGAATGATGAAGAGGCACTTTAAAGGGGCATCTCAATAGGCATTTTCGTATTAAAGATTTGGGAGAACCAAAATATTTTATAGGAATTGAAATTGTAAGATCTTCAACAAGAATATCCTTCAGCCAACGCAATTACTTTTTGGAACTTATATTAGATTCTGGGTTGTCAGCGTGTAAACCAAGTATCATTCTTGTTGAATAAAACACCAAGCTCACCACTCAAGAATATGATAGTGGGACATCATCATCAAAGATAGATCCACCTTTGCAGAATCCCTTGCATTATCAAATGCTTGTGAGACGTCTTGTCTATCTCACCATGACATGCTCTGATATTAGCTGTGCAGTACATATTCTCAACCAGTACATGTATGGCCCAAAGCAATTACACATGAATGTTGCAATGAAAGTACTCAAATACTTGAAGGGTTGTCATGGCTTACGATTCCTTTTACCTCGGAATGAAAATTTCGACGTTACAACACACTACGATTCGGATTAGGCCACATGTTTGATGATAAGAAAGTCCATCACTAGTTTTTGTATAAAGCTTGGAGGAGCCCTTATCTCCTGGAAGACAAAGAAACAGTCAACATTATCACTGTCATCAACCGAGGTTGACTATAGAGCCATAGCCAAAACTACATGTGAGACCACCTAGATTCTTGGGTTGTAGGGAGATTTGGAGGTTTAAGTAAGAACGTCAGTTCATTTATACTATGATAACAAGGTTGCCAGCGACATTGCAGCAAACCTGATATTTCATGAGAGAAAAAACACGTAGAGATTGACTGTTACTTCATTAGAGGGAAAATTCAAGAAGGGATAATCAAGACTATACACATTTGTATTTCGGAACAACTAGAAAACCACAAGCTTGAGAGAGGGTGACGACATATGTAATGCTGGAATTATGTTGATGAAGTATGGAATGCTTGGATTATGCATATTTTTAGATATTCTGTTTCCTTCTACATCCTTGATTCTATGTGATTGTGTCTTTATCACTTGATTATATTTCCGTTCTTTGCAATAATTCTTTTGTATAAATTGATAGTGTACAAAGCTACAAATCAATATACAAAATACTGAAAAAAAATTTGCATCTCTTTTCCTTTCTTTCTTGGCATTCTTTGGCAATCTCTTTTACTTCTGTCTGCCGCTCTTGCCTTCTCCNATACTATTTGATTGTGTCTTTATCACTTGATTATATTTCCGTTCTTTGCAATAATTCTTTTGTATAAATTGATAGTGTACAAAGCTACAAATCAATTTAAAAAATACTGAAAACATTTTTGCATCTCTTTTCCTTTCTTTCTTGGCATTCTTTGGCAATCTCTTTTACTTCTGTCTGCCGCTCTTGCCTTCTCCTTCAAACTTTGACAATAACATTACATAGTTTACACAATCATCGGCCAGGGGCCCACAAATATATAACTAGTCACACACTGAAAATTTATGTTTATTTGCCTCTTCTAATTTCAAAGATCACAGTCCATCCTTCTAATAACCTTTTGTTTCGGATTTTAGCTTTTGTAATCGGAAAAAATGGAGCTAATAGAAGAGTAAAGAGTAAAGAGTAAAGAGTAAAGAGAGATGCATTTTATAATTAATGTGTTGTTGTGAAAAGCTAGCATACTTAGAACAGGAATATTAATATGCAAGCAATGATGGTTAGAAGTCTTTTTCTAAATCTCTTTAACATCTTTTTATAAGCACCAAATTTTTTGTCATTATGTTAGCATTAGGGATAACGACGCGAAATGAAAAGCAAATCTAGCGCTTGAGAGTATTATTACATGGGAGGCAAAAGGAAAAAAAGTCGCAGCCAGCTCGCAATCAAATTATTTAAAATATCTAGTGCTTACATTGGATTACTGAATCACAAAGGAATTTCCATTAATTATTAATTATCAACACGTTATATATATATAGGAGGGAATGATCCCTTTAAACCTTATGAATTATCCAGGGGTTTGTGTTTGTTTATATTTACAAGTTCAAGCTGTAGGTTAACAATGCATATCAAACGATTATTATAATTAATACCCATTACAAGATTACCTAATGTTTACTATTATATGTTTGACACTTCATATTTATAATATCCAATATTTATGTTAGGATCAAACCATAATATCATAGTAAAGTTACCAGAATCATCTTTTTTCTACTTTTTCTTAAGAGTATAGTATATTGTATTTATAAGAGAAAAGGCAATGCGATATCATATGTTTGAACACCAAATTAATATAAATGAATGTAAGTTTTAATAAAATTAATTTAACATTACGATTATGACAACATAGGTGTAAAGCTTAAAAATCATTGGATGAAAATGAATAAATATTTTGTATAACTTCTAAGTTAATGCTACAACTCACATGCAATGTATTAACACACTCTGCCCTTGTGACTCAACTTTAATGTAGAATATTAGGTGCGTATACCAATTTCAAATTGAATTTTTCATTTTGAAGACATAATACAAACACTGCATTTGCATGCCGTTCGATCAATTTCTTGTACATTTACTTCTTCAAATTAATATATGTTAATACAAGTCTTGTATTTTTGTATTTATATCAATTCTGAGCATGCGCGTGACACTGCCCTTTTTAAACCCTAACCTTAATTTCTAGTTGATATTGCAAGCAAAGCAAGTATATTTGCCGCTTTGTAGTTTAATTTCCTTCAGTTCTCTTTCTTGCTACCAATTTGTATCAATATTATATGCATCTTAGAATCCACACATTAATAAAATAAAAGAAAAAAGAGAATTATGTATATTTTTATATCGGTATTTACTTGCTCTTTAATCTACATAATCATGATAATTTGTTTTTTAATTAAATTAATAAAATATATAAAAGTTGTTTATTGAATCATAAAGTGGTATAACACTTGTCTCATGCACCTAAAGACTCGCTTAATAAACAAAGCTGTTCGGTCTCTACTGGATTTAATTTCTTCAACCTTCCACCACTCTATTTTCTCTCTCTGTATATTATTATATATGCTCCAGTTTGGTTGCTTCACTTGCAAAATTCACCATCAAAATTAATTAACTACTCTTATTTCTTCCTAATTCTCCTTAATCCTTTTAATGGAAAATTTAATTTGTTCATCTTCTATAATTAATGCATCGTCTTAGATGGAAAGCATATATATAAGTTGAACATTTATATCTTTTTAAAGAATCCAATGTTTATGTCATCGAAACATAATCTGTCAGCTTCATGATCTCTCTCATTCTTCTATCTCCATCACACAGAGAAACGTGCATTTAGCCACTGTCTTTAATTGATTTTCTTAACGAGTTTTCTGGTTAATAAAAACAAGAAGAAAAAGGAAGAGTGTGAGAGAGGAAGATGATGAGTTGTTCAAGCCCACAAGATGATCAAAAATCTACTTCAAGAAATAATGGTCTAATCGTCCTTTCTTCATCAGCGAGACAAACACCATCAAATGGGCATGCCCCTCAAAGCCCGGAGGACCAAAAGCCATACAAGAAAGTAGTGAAGTACAAGGAATGTCTGAAGAATCATGCAGCTGCCATTGGTGGTAGTGCCACAGATGGGTGTGGTGAGTTCATGCCAAGTGGAGAAGAAGGCACCATTGAAGCTCTGAAATGCTCAGCCTGCAACTGTCATAGAAATTTCCATAAAAAGATAGAATGTGATTGTCCGTTTGAATGCTATCATCACTCACCAGTTGTTCCAATGGTCAACAGTGGTGGGAGAGCTCTCGTTCTGAGCCATCATCACAATCACCCAGCTGCAAGTACCTTCATTTCTTTAGGGGGAGAGCCGACTCATCACCACCAGCTGATAATGCCATACAAAAGTGGGTCAGCCATTTCAGAATCTGATGAAAAAGACGATGGAGGTGGGGTTGTGGGAAGGCCACTTGAGCATCAAAAAATGAGAAAGAGGTTTAGGACAAAGTTCTCACAAGAACAGAAGGAGAAGATGTTGAAGTTCGCCGAGAGGGCTGAATGGAGAATACAAAAACTAGAGGAATCGATTGTTCAACAGTTCTGCCAAGAGATTGGGATCAAGAGAAGAGTCCTCAAGGTTTGGATGCACAATAACAAGCATAGCCTGGCCAAGAAAAACTCCATTAATTAGTTAAAGAAGCAGTCTTTTACTTTTATATTCCTCTATATTATCATTCGGATTAATTTTCTAGCTTGTTCATTTAATTCTCTTTTCTTGTTAAATTTTTCATTCTCTAGGTCCTATAAATTAAATGTTAATGTTTAATATTTTGAAAATCTTCTTAATTTATAATTTTCTTCCTATCTTCTTCGTTTAAGGACTACTTTAAGCCTTGAACCAGCACTCTTGCTCTTCAGTAAATGAAAACAAAAAAAGAAGAAGAAGATTATGATGATGCATGCATGCATGACAAAGAATGAAAGAAGGCATCTCGGCCTTCTGTTTAAACAACTTGAAGGCATTATAAGATAAATTAGTCTCACTATCCCATGTCTGGTTTTGATTCCAAGGCAGTATGATAATTGATCGTGTTGTTGCAGGGACCATTAATTCTGGTAACCAGGTTCTGAGCATGTATTAAATTCATCCAACCATTTAGAGATTAAGATAGAAACAATAAATTGTTGAATTTGACTTACCATACTTGTGGGTATCTGTGCCAATCTATATATATTATAACATGAAACTTATAAAAATAAATAAATGCTAAAGTTGTCATATGTTTCGAAATTAACACTCATATAATTTTTTTTTTTTTTTTTTTTTAGCTAGCTAGTTCTGCCACAAAACATTCAATCGTAATATTTGCATTTATTTTCGTGTACTCTTAACCTGCTTTCAACGGAAGAAACTTAAACTATAAAATTAAAGTATCGCTGCCACTGAGATCATAAAAATTATTGGTAAATAATACTGCAAATTTTCACAATATTTATACATTTGTATAAAGAGTAATATTACAGTTATTGAAAGATGTGTATTAAATTCATACTTTGAATAACGTGATAAAATTCTGATCGTTGATTCATTATAAATTAATATTAATCTACGGTTAGGATTTTACTACGTCATTCGGTACACAAATTTGATGTGTAATTTTTAATAACTCTATCATTTTTCTTGTATAAATATCCATACATGGAATTATGCAGTCAGGAGATGGTTCCGGTGTTGGAGCAGTTCTAATTTCTGGTGGTGGTATTTAATAGAGAATAGATAAGTTACTGGACCAGCAATTTCGTAATTGTGGGATTGGAAATCCGTTCAAGTGTGTATCAATTTGACCTAGTAAGATTGAAAAACTGTGATCCATGCCCAAATACATTCAATAAGAAAAAAATCATTAATCCCAAATCATCACAGGGAGTAATAATTAACGATGATGATAATTCTATTATGCTAGATTAATTAGATGATAAGTGGAGAGTAGAAACTTAATTAAGTCGCTAAGGTGCATGTGCAAAAAGAAATATGATAATTCAATGAAACTTACTGGAATACATGATCAATTGAGGGATATTAATTAGATTGGGTTAATTAAGCCTAGGATACCAGCTAAAAAAGAAAGTTTAACACAATTAAGTAGGGGCTTAATTATGATAATCATAGGCACTAATTGATGCTTCCATGATCCTTCTTAGTTTAATTTCTTTAAAATAAAATGGTGGCTGGGATATATTTTAGGTGGCTTATGCTAATCCTAATTATTTAGCTTAATCATGTGATCATTCTTGCTAAGAAAAATAAGTGTTCAGTAATCATGGTTTAGACTATTTGGATTCTCACTTAAGCCAATTAGTGATCACCCTTTTCATTTCGCTATTTTATTATAAAAAGTGAGACTAAACTAAAGATTAAAAAAAAAAAAAAAAATAAATAAATAAAAATGAAAGCTTTTCCATTATGCGCGGTAATAGTTTAGGAGTTTTTATTTTTATTCTTTTTTCCTCCTCTGGAGATACTATTGATTTGTATAGCAATTAATTAAAGTGCTTGCATGTTATATAAGTCGACTCACAGCAAAATTAAGTCATATTCATTGTGTTAAACTTGTGTATTGAAATTTAAAGAAATGGATTTTGTGTTTGTCTTGTACTTGCGTATTGAAGAAATTAATTGTGTCTGTATTTGTTTTGGGATTTATGTTGATTTCATGAATATTATTTTTTTAAATTTTGTTTGAAGTAATAGAAAAAGGTAATATGGGCATTTAAATGGTTTCATTGAATATGAAATAAAAAAAAAGGATTGAATCCTACCAAAACTCTAGCGGTAGGGTGGCTTCTAATAGTTTTTTATAATCGTTGGGACGGTTAGACTTAAGGATTTTTCAGGGTTTAAAAAAATTAACCCTTCATTTTATCCAAAAAACCTAAACACTTGTGTGTCCACATTATTTTCTTATATTCATTTATCCTTATTTATTTATTAAAATGGATATTCATTTTAATAGTTATTATATTGAATGAATCTAAACTTTTTTGAGTCTTTATTATTCTTCTTCTTATTTTCTTTTATTTATCATTGATATAAATCACTTCATTGATTATCTGTTCATGTTATTATATTATCTATTTATTATTTTTATTTTATTCATTTATTTCTTATCTCTAGTCTGATAGATAAAGGTTGGAGCTTCAATTCATTGGGTATTCCATGATACCGCAACCCATCGATCTTTCACCCGTTTGAGCAATATGGAGAAAACTGAGAAGTCAACTTTTTTTTTTTCCCCCAAAATCGAAAACATAAACCCCTCAGTTGTCCATCACCTCTTCTCATCTATTTGCGGTGGCTTCCTTAATGTTAGTTCACCATGTATCATCACTTAAACACCATCATACAGTAGTCATATCAATCTAACAACCATAACTCTAAAAACAACATTTTTCTTTCATTTAGAGCAACTTGTTCCAGTAATCCATAAACCCTTCCAATCAAGATTTTTCTTTGTCATTCCTCTTCATTTTCATGCATCACCCCTTGAAGAAAGATTAACAATTTTTTCCAGAGACAAAAACACCAAATGTAGCAAGCTTTCTCATCAATATTCAACACATGAAGTTTTCTGCGAAAACTGGAGCTTTTTGCTGTGTTTTAATTCAAAATCTGGCTTTTTTTATTTGATTTTGGAGAGATCTTTTGCGGTTTAATGTTTTTGGGTTCCTTGGGTATCATTCCAAGTCATAAAAACAGTTTTTCATGAAGAAATTTGAGCCAAGTAGCAAAAACCTGTAATCTCAAAATATTGCAGAATTATTCCTATAGTGCACCTGAAATAGCCTATTTAAATTTTCTGCATTTAACGGATCAAATCAATTGTTTCAATATAAATACTGTTTTGGCTTCAAATTCTTGATATTATTTGCTTGGAATATTTTCAAACACATCTCATTTGACTAATTCATTGGGTGGTTGACTCCCACATCATAATATTTTCATATTATTGCCCTAGCCTTCTTTGGTTTATAGTAGCAGTGCATGAACTGCAACGGGGAACTCTCCGAGAGACTTCTTTTCAACAAGATCACGAGTTGGCTCGCCCATCAACTCACAATTCATGGTTGAACAAAAAGAGAAACAACAAATTCTACACCCAAAGCAACCTACATCCAGCCCTTGTGAAATAGATTTGACATGTTCATTATTGTTTCAATTGTAATTGATTTTGCTATAATATTTTAATTTATTTAATTCCAAAAGACCATCAAAAAAAGGTCTTGAACCAATATTTCTTCATGTTTGTCCATATTCTTTATTCATATAAGTCTTGTATTGCCCTTGTGGGAAGCTTTTCTTGCATTCTAATCATATATGAAAGTAAAGAGTTATTAGTCCTTACGCATTGAGGCATATTAGTTGTTATCACTTATCAGCAAATTAAACAAGAGTAATGACTTCTTGAGTCAACAATTGTAACGTCAAGATAAGTTGGTGATTTCAATTTAGGTGTTTGTTATCAATTTTTTCAAATTTAGATAAGTCAAATTCTTTTTTTTTTTTTTTATTCAGTTGTATATCACTTAGAATAAGCAAATGCAAAAAAAAAAAAAAAAAAAAAAAAAAAAAAAAAAAAAAAAAAAAAAAAAAAAACAACAACAAAGAGACTTGGGGATTGTTTTTTTTTTTTGCACTAAACACTATTAGATTTTCATTTTCACCTAACATTAGATCTTAATTGTTTTAAGAAAAATGATCCTTTTTTTTATTTTAAATTTGGTCATGTCAAATAAAAATTCCACCTATAATTCAAATAGTTGCAAGATTTTAGAAATCATTCCCCCTGATTATAAATAATTAATCATAAAAATGTTCACTATACTTCCATTCTTCAAGGTTAAATTGTAATGGTTGACAGACATGATTACAGTTAGATGGAGGTTCATTATTTTTGAATTAAATTAGGAAATATAATAAGTATATTATAGAAGAGTTAAATCAAATAATAAAGTGTATATTATGGAATCCCGTTTTGAGGAATTAGAGATACCACGTGGACTGCGTTTGTTTCAGTTTTGGGAATACTACTTTTAGTATTCCCAAAAAAGTTAAACAGTAAAATACCCAAAAACTCAGATTTTTGGGAATACTACTCCCAATATTATTGAACTTTTTTTAAACCCCTTAAATTTGATAATTTAATTAAATACCCCTAAATATTTTTTTTAAAATTACAAAAACACCTCAATAATCCACATTTACCAGATTCCGGCCACCACCATCGGAAAATGGCCGGAATATGGTAGGATGGCGCACTACCGGCTGAATCTGGCAGGTAGTGCGCCGATCTAGCCTTTTCCGGCCAGATCCATGGTGGATCTGACAGGAAAAGGCCAGATCTAAGGCCAAAGTTCTGGCCGTTGACGGCCAGATCTTTGGCCGTAACAGTCGATCACGACAGCCAACAAACGGTCGTCGTTGACCATCAACGACGACCGTTTGTTGGCCATCGTTGAGAGCAAATACGGCCAGATCTGGCGGTTGACGGCCAGATCTGGCCGTAGATCTGGCATTTGCCGACCAGATCCACCGTGGATCTGGCCGAAAAAGGCCATATCGGCACATGACCGGCAAGATCCAGCCGGTCATGCGCCCATAAGGTGACTTCGGCCACCTCCGGTGGTGGTGGCCGACTG